GTAAATTTCCCTACTATATACGGTGAAAAACTGTATTGGACATTACATGTATTGGACATAGATTTTACGATAGTATACCGTTTTTGGAAGTGAAAAAGACCGTATAATTTACAGTGAATAACCATAAATTGACATTCCCAGAATTCTCTGCGTTACATTTCAAATTTGATGTTTTTTTGTTAGTTTTTTCTTATCAGTTTTGTATATTAGGGTTGTGTGTTACATCTAATGTTGTTAATTGAATGTTTATTGCATTATTTCAGTTTCATGTGTGTTACCGTGATGGTGTTTAGTGTTTGTGTGAATGACACTGTGCACCTTCTATATATGTTATTATTTAAAAGCTGCTTGTGATGGGCTTTGGTTCATCATGTGACTTTCTCATCACCTCCTGCATTTGGTGGTTATCAGTGTATTACAAAGGTACAAAACAGATTTCAGTACTTCAATAGGTTGGTATATTAACATTTTATCAGTTAATGAAATGACGGTATTTAACTGTAAATTTAAGTTACAATCGTAAAACCTAAAACGTTGTTACCGTATTTTTTACGGTAAAATTCTGGCAACCACAGCTGCCATTTTTTTACCGTAAATTTTATGGATTTTTTTTTACAGTGTGGGCTTGCTTGTTTGCTTTTAATATAAAAAGTTCTATTTTTGGCCCTTTCACACCAAAAGCCTCAGGCTGAAGGAAATGTAAATTAACGTCTGTACAGTATACACCGAAGAAGAAGAAAGTTCAACACTCTTCAGCAATAATAAAAGAAGAAGAAATGTTAGTTTATCTTGTGTAATTGTTGCTTATTAGTACGGTTGAATTGGATCACCGAAGGTCAGCAGCAAATTGGTTAATAAAATGGGATTAAATACATAAAGGATTTTTGTATTATTTAACATATTTAATTATTGCAGCTTTGAGTCATATTCTGAGTTGCTTTTAACTGTTTTTATTCATTTTGAGAAAAACTAAATCTGCTTCTTTTTTTTTTTGTAAGTGAGTGAGATGAATTAATGCATGTTCACATTTATTCTAGAACTAAAGTAACATCTTACTCCCGATATCTCTCAACAAGGGGACAGGAGAGCTTTCAATCAATAAATGGGGTAAAAAAAGTAACTCAGATATTTTCTTGTAAATTAAAAAGTAATGCGTTACTTTACTAGTTCCTTGAAAAAAGTAATCTGATTACATAACTCGCGTTACTTGTAATTTCATTTACATGTATTATTCCTCATTATAGAAGCTTCTCACTCTCTATAAACTTTAATTTTACAATCATATAATTTACTGTAAATATTATTAGAACACCTAAAATCAAAATTATTCTCTGTTATGTTCTACATTCAAAAATTCCCTCCTAATTTCTTGTCTAATTGCCAGCATTTAATAATAATAATAAAAATAAGTAACCATTTACAATAAGTTCATATAAGTTGGTTAATGCATTAACTAATAACGAGCAATACATTTGTTACAGTATTTATTAACTTGATTAATGTTAGATAATAAAAATACAGCTGTTTATTGTTAGTTCATGTTAGCTCAAGCCCTTTAAATAATAACAGATACAACCTTTGATTTTAATAATGTATTAGTAAATGTTAAAATTAATCATGTTTTAGAAGTATTTCTCATTGTTAGTTCATGTTAAATGATGTAGTTAACTGCTGACAAATGGAACCTTATGGTAAGATACCACTAAATATTATCAAAAAAGTTTCCACGTCATACATTACTATTATCCAAAGACATTTTCAAACTACTCGCGTAGTGAAACCAAAATTATTCTTAAGCTTTGGGATTTATTTTGCATTTAAATTCATAAATAAGGATGATAAATCATAAAAAATATGAATAGAAATGTTGTTTGAAAACACAACAATTATAATCGCATACTCTTTAGGTTTTTAAATCTTTCTTATACACTCTAAAAAATGCTGGGTTAAATATAACCCAGCGCTGGGTTAAAAAGGGACAAACCCAGCAGTTGGGTTGTTTTGACCCAGCGGTTGGGTTCAAAACAACTCAACCGCTAGGTCAAAACAACCCAATAGCTGGGTTTGTTCCTTTTTAACCCAGCATTTTTTAGAGTGTAGTATTCATCAAGATTTCCAGAACTTCCAGTAAACCTCACCCTGCCCTGCTTCATGAACACGCTTTTATAAGCTTCATCTGTGCTTACATCATATTTTTTTATTGACTGTCTCACGGTGTTCCCAGATGTAGTTAATATTTTCCTTCTTGGCTCAGCCGGTCATGCATAGCAAGATGCTGAGGACACGGTCTTGTGCTTTGGCAGCCTCTGAATCCGGTAAGCCCAACCCCCGCAGCCCATGAAGGATCTGTCAGGTCCTCAGACGCTCAGACCGAGAGATGGACATGTGTTTGACTGCCGACAAACAGGTATTGCATTTTACCTTGTCTTTTCTTCTCTTTTTTTCTTTCTGTTTAGACCTGACTTACTGTAAATTGAGCCATATCTAGACAGTGTTTATCTAAAGGCAATTCAACCACTTTAACAAAACATAAAAATCTTTTGACAGCTCAGATTAGTTAGTTACAGGAAACTGTGAGACAGCACAGGCAAAGCTGCCAGGAATTCTCAGTGAAGGAGAATCTTTATGAATTGGTCCATTATGTAGATCTCTTATTCAAAGCTATGAAGAGGATTTAACGATCAAAAGTGATGTTAGTTGAGAACGAACAGGTCATGGTTCATGTTTACAAGCGCTCGTAATGCTCTGTGCTAGAGGTGAGATGCAAAATAAATCTTGAGCGAGCTCTGACATGCTGATGAAGTGTGGAAACACCCTGGTGTTTTCAGGACAGAACATGGAGGACAGCTGCATGCGTTCTGGACCAGGCAGGAGAAACAGTGGTTGCTAACGGCACGTCACCTCCGGCCAGTTTTGTTGCATAATAAGAAACCCAAGCACAGTTTAAGACTCTGCCAGTTCAAACAACGGTACTGCAGCTGAACTGCTGCTTAGGGATTTTAGTGAGTGTCTAGCTCATAAAATTCAAACCTTTGGGTTTGAAGATGCCCAAGAAAGCCGATAAAAAGGTAAGGCTTCTACTTTATTGTTGATGATGTAGATAAGTGCAAATACTTGAATGTAAAACTGTAAGAGACACAATATGGCAAAATAGTCTGTGTAAAGTGAAAAATGTGCAGTGCCGTTCTTTAGTCAGAGTCGCTAAAGTATTTTAAACACTTCTATTGTCGTTGTTTTATTATTATTTAATGCAAAATATTCATTACAATTTCTGCTTCATTTCCCAAAGCTGACATGGAAATACAGTCGATGTCAAATTTGTTTAGATTTCAATGGTGGCCTATGGTGCGGAATGCTTTTCTTTATTTTCAAAATCTTTTCCCCCTATGGTTAAATAGACAAACATTTCATTGTGGCCCTCTGAGCCATTTTATGTTCACCGTGTTTCTCTGGACAATGTTGTTCTTTCAGCCAGCTGAGACGACTGCTCAAACTGGCCCCTAAAACCATGGCACTGCTCAAAGTGGGCCGCAGCGCAGACTGTCAGAGGACCGAGCCTGGTTTATTGGCCTCTCTACATCTCGCATTGGCGGACTAACCAGCACAGTGGCGCTCCTGTTCACGCATCACTGAAACATACTGGTGGGTCGCAGCTCTTTCACTTACAAAGAGAGACTGGCTCTGTTCTAAAATCTGGCCAGCTGCCTACGTAGACATAATTTAAAGGCACACTCTGGGCTGTTCCAAAAGATAGAACAATTATGCTGGTTTCTAAGAATCCCTATTTAAGGCATATTAAGACATATCCTTCTTAAAGGCAAAGTAAAATGAATAGCAACAAGGTCAGGGATAATTATCCAAGGTGGTGAGGGGACAGAGAACTATCAGTCGTAAATAGAATAATTTAGTGCTGGTTCAGTAAATCAATAAAATAGTCCGGTCTAATTCAAAATGAACCATTTTACCCAATATTTTTTAATTCTGCCGTGTGTTTTTATTGATTTCTTTCACCCCCCCAAAATAAAGTGTCATATTGTTAGCTTGCAACATTCTAACACTGGATTATATTAAAATCAATAGTGAGGCAAATCTCCCATACTCACTGATAAGGCTGGGTAAAAAAATATAGATATCTCAATATTGATCGTTTCTCATTTTTACGGAACGATATCGATTCTTAAATCCCAAGAATCGATTAGTCTAGCCTGTTTTCAGTTAATGGACTGAACGTTAAAAGGGCACTTCCCATCCAATATATTGCAATAAGCATTGTGCGTTGGTACTTTTAATATGAAACAAAGTCTCAGATTTCAATTTATGTCCATTGTATTGCAGTATTCAAACAATAAATGCCGTTTTGGTGCTGTTTAATGTGGAGTGACAGATCGCTGTAGCGCCTCAGTGAACTGATAATCTCCTCCACATTAATACCAGTTTCAGCACAAAATAAACATGACTAAACATCCGAAGGTAAGTTAAAAGAAAGAGTACAACTTTACAATCCATATCCTGTCTCATGTAATCGCTCAATCAGTGTTTCAGCCGCGCAAAGACATCAATATAACGGCTTGTGAACAATGTCACGTAACGTCACATTTACCTCAGAAAAACATATTCGGTGACCATAAACTCATTAGTCAGATAGAAAGATAAACTGTAGAGAGGGGCATTTTGCTAAATATATGCACCATATAACATATTCATTATAAATTTTACTGTTCTTCAATGTTTAATTTGTTTGAATAAATCCATCAAGTTTTTTTGACAGCCACCATTATGTTTATATTTAAATAAAAAATGAATTGAAGTAGAAATATTATTATGTAATTGTAACTTTATTATTTTAAAAACTTCATTAAGTGTAATTTTAACAAATCAGTCAATTTTAACCTTCAATATTATGTTAATGTAGTACCAACTGACTCTCATGTATATTTTACAGCATTAGTTGAGAGATTTTATTTTCCTTGAGAAAATTTGGTATGTACTGTACCTGATATATATCCTAAATAATCGATATTGAATCGAATCGACATTTGACGATATTGACATTTGACATCTTTTAAAACACATGAATTGTTACTTTTTTTCAAACTGTAGTTAGTGTGGTATACTTCATTAAGTGATTGCGTAGTGGGTTTGTCAGGCACCAAATAGAACGCTGCACTGATGACGTATTTTTGCAGAACAATTGTTATGTTAGTGTCACTATGATTCCCTTGACAAAAAATCCAATAAGATTTATCCATTGACTTTTGGATTATTAAACTCTGTGACTCTGTGAATTTTAAAGCCTAAATACAATCGGCAGAAGTGAAAAACTAAACCTTCGCTACAAAGGAACTACTCCATGGTCACACTTCAACATCACCAAGATCAAGCTTCAACAACTCTTTCAGTATTAATAAAAAAACATTTTCCCTGACAGTTTAAGTGAGAATATTTTGCAAGAGTGGATTATAAACACAACGAGGCTGTGAAAGCGTCTAGTGAGTAGATGAGTTTTCCAGTTCAGTGTGATGATGTTTAACAGAATTTGTAATGGTTTTACTGGTTATAATGGGAATTGTATTGGTTGTAATGGAGACTGTAATGAATCCGTGTATCATTCGATCATTCGTTTTTTGATTTAATATTGAAAATAGAAAAATGAGAAAACGGCTCCTTTTTTGTTTTTTTGTTTTTTTCCGAAAATGAAAAACGAGAATTCAGCTTAAATTTACGTTTTTCGTTCATTGGTGGAAAAATGAATAAACAGCTTGAATATTTGATTTCTACACGTGGGCGGGAATTAAATGCCCCGGTTTACCACTTAACATTGCTGCACTGAATTAGAAGTACAGGACTGCATTTGAGGCCAAACCTGATTTTTAATCCGTGTATCGTTCGATCATTGGTTTTTTGATTTAATATTGAAAATAGAAAAATGAGAAAACGGCTCCTTTTTAGTTTTTTTCCGAAAATGAAAAACGAGAATTCAGCTTAAATTGACATTTTTCGTTCATTGGTGGAAAAATGAATAAACAGCTTGAATATTTGATTTCTACATGTGGGCGGGTATTAAACGCCCCTTTCTGCTGATTGGTCAGCCGAAGATCAAACGGCGCCGTCATCAGTTCTTCTGCAGTATCACGCAGCAGAATAATAGTCCTCCGCTGCTGCAGTTGTACGGATTCATAACCCATTTTATTAATTTAAAATTTTTCATCAAACAAACAGACTAATGAATAGCTCGACACAACTCATACCGGGGCAGAGTCTAGACAGGTCTTTCTTCTGTGTAGACCAGCGGTTCTTAAAGTGATAGGGGGACCGAGAAATTATTTGCTATAGCCTAAAGTATTTCCAGACTTTAAAGTCACTTTTTTTTATCATGATACATAGGCCTACTGTGATTTATTCCGAAGTGACTTATATGATGCATTTAATGTAAAATCATCTAAATGAAGCCTTTTAAAAGACAAGTATTTGCTGTGGATCATGTTTGTGGCATGCACCAGAAAGATGCTCAAGGAGACCGAGACGCGCTAAAGCAGTGCATTCTGTTGTTCTCTTTATTTTTCAAAGGCATGACATTTTGTAGTTATTTTGAACGTAACGTTACACAATTAAAAATATACATTTTACCATATGACTATAAATGACAGAGTATTAAGTTATTTCCCCTCGATGGGGGAAAATAATCCAAGTGAACGTCAATCAGTACTCAATATTAATTTAAACTGCTTTAAATATGACTGCTGCTTATTTCCTGTGCATTCTGAAGGTATTCTGAGGGTTTGGTGAGAAACAAATGGAAATGGCAAGTTATTATATTTTATGAAAATCTTGCGTTGCAGTGCGTGCCCACGCACAAGTGCATATCCTTTTGAGATATCAATTATAATCAATTTGAATAAAACACAAGACTACATTATATAACTCTAACAGTAGGCTATTTAATATCTGTTGTTCTTCGGTTGTCAGTCAGAATGACAGTTCTTGCGTGAACATTATAGGCCTATATATAGCCAAGCCAATTTATTATTCTTTCCTTTTTGTCTTAGTGTATAAAATAATTATTTTGAAACCAATTAATTAATTTCTTAATTAAACAAACAGACTTACTGAGTGAGCAGGGTAGGCTATGACAGCTGTCATATCATACCCTGCCATGCCCAGCTGATGCAAAGAATATAATTTATATCTACACAGAAGAAAGCCCTGTCTAGACTCTGCCCGAGTCTAGACGAGTTGTGACGAGCTATTCATTTGACTGTTTGTTTGATGAAAAAAATATTAAATGTAGTTGCAATAAATGCGTTAAGAATCCATACAACTGCAGCAGTGGAGGACTATTATTCTGCTGCTAAATCAAAAAACGAATGATCGAATGTTACACGGATTGTAATGGTCTCTGCTGGTCTCTACTGGTAATTTGTCACATTCTGTTGGTGTCTTGTCAAAACCACTAAATCCTAATGGAATATGTCCCAAAACACACAAGAAACCATGTTTTAATGGTTTTTCTGGTTAATAGTTGATTGTTTGTAATGTTTGTAATGATATTTGAGGTGGAAACCATTAGAATTTCTGTGATGGTTCTATTATTATTATTTTTATTTTTTCAAGCAGGGCCGATGACCTCTGTAGTCCCATTTAGCCACTTGTTAGCATTCGTAAAAACTTTAAAAGACAAGTAAAAGCTTTTAAAAAATGTCAGTGGGGTATTAGTGATCTATTTTAAGTGTTAACCACAGACTTTATATCAGGCGTTTAACCAAAAACCAAAATCAAAAACACCCACCCAGGAAATGCTAAATTGCTACCTCATGTCTGGGTTTTGGTCTACAAGAATATGTCATCCCTGCAGCACGCTATATACTACCCATTCAAAGTTATTTCAGCCTTTTAAAAGAGCGTTGGTGTCCAAAGAGACTGGATTCTGCCATGGAATGGAATTTTACATGACACCAAGTGCCTCTTTTCAATACTAAAATCAACAACATAGTTCAATCTAATTAAAAATGCTGCTGTGGTTTTAATGCTAATTAAAATGTCACATTGTTAGCTTAGCAACATGCTAAAGTCGGATTCTGTTGAAATAAATATTGAGTCAAATCTCCCATGCGTGTTGAGCTATGCAATGAGGGCTGTAAGAAGAGCGATGCAATGAGGTGTCATTTCAGTTAGGATGCTGTTTTAGCTGTCTGCTGACACAAGGCACGGAGCCACGGTCATAGCTGAACAATAACGTATTCTTGTTTCTTGCACATGCAGGTCTCAAAAGAATCCAGATGATCCTGTGCAGTCCGATGAGTTTTGCAGTGCTGTACTGCATTCTGTGGCTCTCTGCGCCTGCCTTCCTGCTCTCTGAATTTAAGGTAGCCTACGTTACCGAGCGCAATGTGTACATGTGCACGTATTCCCAGGATCTGGCCTTCTGTGAGACGATGAACTCCAGCCAGTTCAACAACTGCAAGGATCAATCATCTGTCCTGCACAGGGCCGAGACCCCCAGCCCGGTTCACACAAAGCGTCTGACGGTGTGGTACAGCTCGCCTCTTAACGTGGCCCTCCTGCTGAACAACTCTGAGGTTCGGCACCTGTCGCTGATCCAGTGCAAGCCCGCCACCGAGCAGCCCGTCCCGTTCGAGTACTTCACAGTGCGGCGCTTGGAGACTCTAACAGTCACCTATCCCTTCTGGAAGCCTGGACAGAGCTATGACATCCTCATAGGCAAGGACAGGGACGCCCCCTTCCACGAGGAGGCGAGGATGGCTGTCATTCATACCTCTGTGCTGACCGGGAAAACAGAGCTGAAGTCCTACACAGTCCAAACCAACGTGGACCGCAGTGGAATGATGTCCTTCCCAAACATTTTTATGTCTCGCAACGGGCTTTCGGAAATGTCCAGGATATCTGTCACTTTTCTGTACTGAGAGCATTTTTCCCAGGAACTTAGAAGCTTCATTGTACTAGTCTCTATAACACAAATAGCTGTTGTGCATAATTAATCATGTACACGTAATGCATACAATTACATTATGCAAATACTTCTTACATACATTGCAAATATCAAAATCTTTTAGAATCAAACATTATCATATTACAAAATAAGAAAACAAATTAATTTTCAGAGGTTTGTAATGTGGGCTTTGCACATGCGCTGCTGTTTTACTGAGGATTTAATTCTCTTAAGATGTTTTGCATTTACAATAAAGAAAAGGGATAATATTGAATTAAAAAATATATATATTTATTAAAATAAAAAATGGCAAAGAATTGTGTGATGCTGTTGTTCAAGTTTCTACTGCCTTGCAGAATCTATTCCCCCTTAGAGTCATTTGTAATGCCAGTTCAAAAACAACCCTGGCTCATATCAAAAACAAAAGCAAAAGCAAACGTGAGATAAGAACACATTTGCTGCAGCAAACATGCCGTTTTAGCTTGTATCTACATGTCTTTTACTCATATCTGAGTATTTTGCATCACAAGTGCATTGCTGCACCAGGTGAGCTACAGAGCAAATTTAATAGATCAGAAAAGCCACACATGCGGAACTGGTCCTGTAATCATTTGTGTGAAAAGGAATAAAAGTTGTTGGTGTTTAACTGCCTCTAGTGTTCATTTCACTTGGAAACTGCAGTGAACTGTATGTAGCCTGTTTCGGAGATATGTGAAAATGTAGATAGAGGCAAGTTTTTCAAACTTGGCAATGTCATCTCATTTGACTACTTAGTGCAGTGCTTACCCGTTCTGGGTAGTGAATCGTTCTTTTGAGCCGGTTCTCAGGAAGCAACCGGTCGAGCCGGTTCACAAATCGAACTGAATCGAACTTTAGTACCGAATGAGCCGGTTCAACCAACTGTCGAAGTTTGCCGAGGATTACCGAGGACTCCACAAGAACCGAATGAGCCGTGGCGAAGTTTGCCGAGGATTACCGAGTGTTTGCTCATCTGCAATACGTCTATAGGACGCCTCCTATCAGATGTCAAATAGACATCTATTAGATGTCTTTAAGATGTTAATGGTTTAGAATGTATGTAAAACTGACATCTAACAGACGTCTGTCAGATGTTTAGATGCTTTCCAGATCCAGTGATCTTTAACAGACATCTTGCAGACGTTCGTGTGCTATCTGGTTAATCAGCCCAAGTCCATAGCATTCACTATAGCAAATCGTTATTTTTTTTATGTTGGTTCTGAACAATTTTTGTTTCATTTGTTTGCTGAGCATGGATGCGTCATCATGCAAAAGCGAAAGTTTTCGATTGCAGTGAGAGAGAACGACCAGGGCTGGACTGGGACAAAAGAAATCGGCCCTGGCATTTTTTTGGTCCAGGCGGCCCACCACCACTTATTATATGTGACCCTGGAGCACAAAACCAGTCTTAAGTCGCTGGGGTATATTTGTAGCAATAGCCAAAAAAAAAAAAATTTGTATGGGTCAAAATTATCGATTTTTCTTTTATGCCAAAAATCATTAGGATATTAAGTAAAGATCATGTTTCATGAAGATATGTTGTAAATTTCCTACTGTAAATATATCAAAACTTAAGTTTTGATTAGTAATATGCATTGCTAATAACTCTATTTGGACAACTTGAATGGCAATTTTCTCAATATTTAGACTTTTTTGCACCATTAGATTCCAGATTTTCAGATAGTTGTATCTCGGCTAAATATGATCATATCCTAACAAACCAAACATCAATGGATAGCTTATGTATTCAGCTTTCATATGATGTATAAATCTCTATTTCGAAAAATTGACACTTAAGACTGGTTTTGTGGTCCAGGGTCACATATAAAGGTGTCAGTTTGTCTTTTGAATATTTGAATATCGTAACTGCAGCTTGAAATGTTATACAAACTGGATGGAATGTCTGAAAGCAAAAAAAACCCAAACATTATTTTGTCATCCAATATATGGGTACATAAAAATAATAGTAGAAATAATCTATATAGCTAATTCAATTGGTTACAAATGAATTATTAACCCTCTCACGCTATAAAAGAAAAGTTTTTTTTGCCCTTTTTCCATTTAGTTAAGTAAGCACACCCACACACACGTACACCTGCATGACAGAGCATATCTGTAGGAACTTCTGAACTTCTTGTTGGTAGTTCTTGAAAATAATCTTCTGAAGAGAGATGAGTTATGTTGGTTCTGAACAATTTTTGTTTCATTTGTTTGCTGAGCATGGCGGCCCACCACCACTTCGATATATATAGAGTTATTAGAGATATATATATATATATATATATATATATATATCGAAGTGGCGAAGTGGTGGTGGGCGTATATATATATATATATATATATATATATATATATATATATATATATATGCTTATACACTATA